CCAAAAGACACCTAAGGTCATGCTCAACCTCATTAGCAATCAGGGAAATGCAAATCAAAACAACTTTGAGATATCATCTCACACCTGTCAGAATGGCTAAAATCAAAAGCACCGATGATAGCCTTTGCTGGAGAGGCTGTGGAGGAAGGGGTACCCTCATCCATTGCTGGTGGGAATGCAATCTTGTGCAACCACTTTGGAAATCAGTGTTTCGGTTTCTCAGGAAATTCGGGATCAACCTACCCCTGGACCCAGCAATACCACTCTTGGGAATATACCCAAGAGATGCCCTATCATATGACAAAGGTAATGAGTCTTTTTACTGTTTGAAGATTTCTATAAACAGATGTGCTGGTTTACATAGTTCCATTGTGAAGTGGGGTACAGATGATGAAGAAAAACAGAAGAAACAGAAGTGGAAATAATAAAAAGACAAAAATCCATCAGGATTAAAACCAGAATCCTAGGGGAAGGACCTTGTTCTGTTAGCCTACATTCTCTGTGTTCAATATAAATATGAGTCACACTGCAGAGCTCTGGGTTTCATTCAGAATGTTTAAACTGTTGAAATCTGCACTGCAAAGAGCACTCTCTTTTTGCAGATTCTAGGGCAGAGGTGTTCAGCAGAACTCTGAGTGTTGGTAGATAATATATATCTATGCTGTCCACACAAGATATATTTACTTTAAATATTGAAGTGCTAGTTTTAGTCAACCCCATTTTATTTTAAATAACTTAAACTTCAAGTTCAATAGACAAGATGGCTAATTGCCTGTATAATGGAGAGCTCTGGAGCAGATCCCTCTGTGCCCAATCTGTTATCTTTTGTCATGGCTCCTTCACTTTACTAAGGCAAAATAGAGTCATATGAACAGAGACTGCTGTAGAAAGCACACTACTGGTTGTCTGATTCTTTACTGGGTTTCCTTTTAAGGCATTAGGTAGGAAACTGAAAGAATATTTTTATACGACATGAATGTAGTAGTTGTGTCTAATTTACAAAGTTATGGATGTTTTCATATATTTTATTAGAATCATAATAATGAAGGCTTGAGAGCTGAGGAGTTGGGTCAATGGAAAAGCTCTTAATGTTTGACCCTAAGTATCTAAGTTTGAATCCCCAGCACACAAGTAAAAATCCTGGTGAGATGACACATGCTTATAGTCCTAGAGGAGGCTGAGACAGGAGGATCCCTGGGGTTCACTGGCTTAAACAAACAGTAAGATCTAGTCTCAGTGAAAAACCTTTTTTCAAAAAGTAAAGTTGCGATCAAAAGAGGAAGCAACATGAATATTGACTTCTGTCCTCTAAATAGTCATGCACACACATGCTAACACACCAGAACACACACATAAACAATCATATACATCTACCAGGTGCACAAACAAATTTTAAAAAGACTTCAAATAGCTGGTGTTTATTTAAATGTGTGTGTTTAAATATTTATTTTAGATGTGTGTGTGTGTGTGTGTGTGTGTGTGTGTGTGTGTGTGTGCTTATGTATCTTAGACTCCTTGGCATGCTTTTTAACTATCCAAAGTCAGTTTATGAATATTGTGTCCAGCTTTATCAGCTTTACCATTTCTGGGTCTGCTTCTCTTGGCTGATGTTTGGTACGGCTGTACTCTATCTCTGTAAGCCTAGTAAGTCTTCTCTGGGTGTAAAGATGATGATTTACCATGCTGCATTGCATCAGCTTTTAAAGAATTCTTTTAAGGAAGGCTACGCTGTGCTCTGACACATAAATTCGCATTTGTTTTAACCTTTGAAAGGAGCTTTAAGCTTTGTTAGTGAGAGTTCCATGACAGTACATAGATAGGGTAGGTCAGTTCCACCAGTAAGACTTCTATGCTGGGCCCCCATAGATAGGGTAGGTCAGTTCCACCAGTAAGACTTCTATGCTGGGTCCCCATATTCATATTTCAAAAACTATGCTACAAACTGTTGCCTGTTTTGCTTCAGCTCTGAAAACTGCTTGATTCTGAAAATTTTCTAGTTCTTCTAGTTCTTTCTACAGGTTTGTCCTGTGACCTTGTGGCATTATAACTGACACACAACAGGATCAAACTTTGGCAAAGGTTAGGATGCTCATCTTTCCAGGTATATGGAGCTTGTTCTCTCTGTGTAGCACCTTCATATGCCATGCCATACTTTGCTCTGCAAATTTAGCAGCATCGCTTTGTTTAACTCTTTCATTTCTGTTTCCTGAATTCTGGAAGAATTAAGGAGTGCCCTACCTCAAACTGGGACTGGAGAAAGTCTGCAGGCAGGAGGCTGGGCACAATTCTTAAGTATCCTTTCCCTCAGGAGTCAATTTCCATAGCTGCCTGTTGTCTGTATCTGAAAATATTTTTTTCAAATATTTGTATATATTTCTTAATGTTTTTGGTGGGAAAGAAATTCTTGCTACCATTGATTCTCTGTGGGCTGAAATTAAAGTGAAATAATACTTAAGTGATTTTAAATGACTTAATAACAAAACAAAATTATTTTAAAATAGGATCATTTAGTCTTTAAATGTTTAAACATTTTCAGATCAAATGTTAATGTAAATGTAACAGATAAGCCTCTTTAACTAAGTCAATAAGAAAATATCAAAGTGCATAACTTCTTCTTTACTTTCTTTTTTATTTATTCATGATCTAGAGAAGAAAATATATTCTTTTATAATCCAACTTATTTTTGAACTGTAATGAATACATGTAAGGAAAATTTTCTTTGGATAGCTAAGAAAAAGATTTGTTCCTATAAACTCAGGACTTACTATTTACACAGAATTCTAGAATCTTCAGCTGGTTATGGTTTAGAAATTTCCTGCTTTTCCCTAATGATCCTATTTAAAATCTCATCAGCAACTTTGTAAAGAGTTGTATATTTTTATTTTATGTGTAGGAATATTTTTCCTCCATGTATGTATTATGTACACCACATGTGTGCCTACTACACACAGAGGCTAGAAGAAGGCATCAGAAAAGGAGTTACAGTCAGTTGTGAGATGCCCTGTGGGTACTGGGATCTGAATTGCATCCTCTCCAAGAAGTATAAGTTCTTTAAACCAGTGAGTCATATTTCTAGCCCCTCCTCAGCAAGTTTCTATCTCCCAAGGAACTTACCTTAGCCTTGAATTTATGCTCATTTTCACAGTGGATGAGCTGTGACTGGAGTCCTATTCCTTAGTGAGTCTACCTTCGCACTTAACATTTGACTCAGGAACCAAATGCGGAAAGTTCGGCAAGACATGAAGTATGTCACAAACTTGACAATTATTCAAATTTTATATTATTAGACATTTTAAGTATAATTCTGTAACACTGTTTTGATCTTCAGCATATTTTAACAAAATGTTTTAGCACAATTAACATATTCTCTAGACAGAAAATTTGCTATTGTGTTTAGTCACCCTCATCACTTCCCTTGGCAATATCCGGATCTGTAGCCCTGCTTTAGCTGGGCTCTGAGTGCTGCAGACAGTGCAGCATGGATAGCCAAGACTGGCGTGGGGCGGGGGTGGGAATTGAGACACGGAGGCTTCTTTTCAGATGGAAGAACAGCAACCTTTATTTTGCCCAGCAACCCTTTATACCTCTACTTCTTCTGTGGAGACTCACCCGCCAGAAAGAACACAAACATCCTTGTAAATTACAGACCACAAGGAAGTTCCCCTGTCAGTCAGAGGGAGTGAGGGCAGCTGGATCACAACACTGAGTTGACATCCATGGCCCCTGTTGCCAGCAAGAGCTGTGCAAAGGCCTGCCGTATGGGTCAATACCTGAGTCCATGCTGGTGCAGGGTCAAGCTGCCACTGGATTCACACAGACATGGGGGCCCATGCAGCCACCAGGGGCCACATTGTTGTCCAGTCTCAAACTGTGGCCGTCGGCCTTGTCTCTGTCTGAGGCCCTACCACAGCCAGGGTATACTGTTGTCACCTGGAGAAATACTGGCATTTTGAGACCACACCACCACTAGGACCGTGTGATCTGGGCAATCTGCAATGCCAAGTAGGGCCATGATAACAACCGACCATTACCAAGGACCATGTCTGGGTCTTTTGTTTTACTGCAGCCTGAGTCTATGCTGATGGCCATGGCCCCGGTTGCCACCAAAGGCCACAGTGATGGCCAAGGTCTGGGCCTCCACCTGTGGCCTTCTAGGTGTCCAATGGCTGTGCTGCTTCCAGGACCATACAGACCTGAGTGCCATGTGCTTCCACCCAGGGCTGGGATGTTGTATGGTCCTGATCTGTGACCAGGGCCATGTCTGAGTCCAATGGCCCAACCACAGACAGGACCAGCACTGATGTCCGAGGGTCCTGTTGCCATCAAAGGTCAAGTGGATGTCTAAGACCTAGGACTAACCTGGGGCCATGAGTGGGTTGAGGGCCATGCTCCCATTGTGTCCATGATGATCTAAATGACCTCCACTGCCAACTGGGGCCATGGTGACATTCAGGCTAAGAATGCTGCCAGGACCATGCCTGGGTCCATGATCCAAACACAGCTGGTGTCTGTAATAA